TATCTCCCAAATTACCTAACAGGTGTCCACCAGCTTACACATTGCTTGTCATTTACACATCACATAACACCTACAGTCTTCATTAAACGTAGAAAATGCAATTGGGCTATTTAGACACATCTCACAAAACTCATACTGGAATTATACCAGCCCAGACCTCAGCTTCTCCTTCTGGCTCTCACGAAACTTAGGACGCTTCTTTGGGGCCCTTACATTAGTAACCCCTTTAAACTCATGAATGGCAGACCATTCTTTCTCTATAAATTACCCATATCCAAAGAATTTCCTCCTTTGGTGTATTACATCCCAATTATTACTTTCCTTTTACATGTACTACATCAAAATGCAGACCACTGTCTTTGATAACGCTCTGGACAGGCCAAACAAGGCCTTTTCAACTCTTCAAAAGACTCAGTTTACCTCAAATCTTTCAAGGCTACAGAATGGCAACCAAAGTAGAGTGGCTTCAATCTGCTTTATATGACAACTCCAACTGCACTGAAGGTTGCTGGACTGCCATCCTGATTTCATGTCATCCAAGCAAAGCAGTATCTTCCCATCACAGAATCCTCTGGTTCTATTGCCTTTTAGTAGTCATCACAGTTCCTGTCTCCCACACATTTCTGCCTTACCTAGGACTCAGGGCCATCACCTCCTGAATAACTCATGCTTCCTTACTCTATCCGCTTCTTAATCCCATATGCCTTAGTAATTATCCTGTTTGCCCTAGGATTCTGGGATGTCCTCTGAAGTGATTTTCATTATCATTCACAAAATAATTTTTATTGTTTTTATCTGACAATTATCTCAATCTTGTCCATGGTCAATTGCTTCGTCCATGTTCATCTCCCCAATTTGGGTTCTCATTCAATATACAATAACATTATCACAAATATTTCTTTACTCATTCAATAATTTTGTCACTCTACAACTGTTGAAGCTTACATTTTTCACCTTTCCTACTTCCTCCAGATCAACTCTTAAACAAAGGACAAAACCTACTTACACTCTTACTTTTACACTTTCAGATGGGAAATAATTGCTGCCTGTAATTTTACGCCACTCAACTCCAAACTCAGTTTCAAAACTCCCTACTGCCACGTTAGACATTATGCCCAAAAATTGGACCAGGAACAATAGTACAAAAATGAAATAAAATGCTGACATAACAACCTCTGCTGATATGAACAAGGTCTAGTCATAACCGCCTGGACCCCCATGATGCACCAATAACAATGTATCAGTCCTTACTATTTTTATGTTGATAAGTGGGGATGTGAAACCATTGGCATAAATACAGCAGGAGATATATGGAAACAGTCAGAGCCTTGTACCTTGTTCACAACATATTAGAGATCAAATGGCAAACTAAACAACATCCATATTTAAAAATGCATCACGTCTTCAATATCTTATAGGCAAGTCATGGAGGCTTTACTTTTACCCCTACAGCATTATTCATTGAATTCAATTCAACAAAGTAACTTCCTTACTCTACAGCTAAAACACATAATCCTACCTCCCATCATCATCATTCTAGTGCTGTCTGCATCACTATCACAAAAACTCAACTTTAACCCATTTGACAAGTCCTCTCATGGATATATGATAACATATCATGTTCTAAAAATCTTACTGAATGTGGATTCTGTGTGCCATACGAGTAACAAGGCAGACTCCATCTATTGGAACTCACCTTACCTAGGTTATCCTCAAAATGCAGCCATAATAGTCCCTCTTCCTATGTATGGGGAACCTGACTGTCTGACTAACCTCACCTGTCTAGTAGAAATACATTCTCACCACATGGGAACTCCTCCTAGTTGCATCCACAACATCACGTACAAAAGATGTGTAGCTCTCTGTCTCCAGTGATGAGATCTTGTGCTTTAGTCATTTTAGTACTGGCCCTAATGGTAAACACTCAGGAGGCTTTAGAAACTGCCTTCACATCTTAACTGTATGACAGAATCTCACTAGGAAGACAAGGGCTGTTCATGTCCCAAACATGATTAATATGGGCATTCTCTTCTTTCTTGAGGCAGTCCTTGAAATAGGGAGTCCATCTGAATTACCAACACTGTCTAGAACTCCACAACCAAATCAAAGACATAACTGTGTCTATTCACTCTTATCAAAATCAGGTAAATAAGCTCTCATCTATTTCTCTTCCAAATCATCACACTCTTGAGGTTCTGACTGTGAAAAGAGTGGTATATTGGCCATGCTGTGGGAAGAAGGTTGCTACTTTGTGAATGAATCAGGGATTGTCGTGGGCTATCAGCTCCATGTTTACATAGGCAAAAAGTGTCAACAGCTAGGTTATGGAAACTTTCCTTCATGGACTTGGTGGAATAATATGTTTCCATCCTGGGTCCCCTTCTACCTCTATTAAACCCTCTAATCATGATAATTACCTCCCTTCCCATAGGACCTTTTATTTTTAAACTTGTTTTTTGCTTTCTTCAGTCTAGAACATAAGTGTTCACTGACAATGTCACCATCTTTTACACGGAAGTCATCATTATCTGGAAGCTTACTTTAGCCCTTAATGCAACATCCCTGTTTAGCAGGAATCAGCCAGATAGAGACTCACCAGCCCCTACAACAAAAGAGAGGAATGGTAGGCTCCTCCCTATGTGTATTTTAACAGGCCACCAAGCAACAGCCCAAAATGATGTTGCAGAAAAAAAAAAACAGCTAATCTGACTTCCTTTTTGATCTCCCCTCCATTTGAAAATGACTTCCAGTTCCTGTTCCTGTGCACAACAAAGTAACCTCCAATCTGCCATTAACACTAGCTCTTGACCAATCTAAACTTGTCCTCTGGCCAGATGTGACACAGGTACCTGCACTCCATTCTTCTTTCAGAGGGTGACCATACTTCTTCTGCATTGCTCTTGGGCCAAAAATAAATGTGTCTGTTTTCTTTCTTTGTCCTATTATCATGCCAAAGTCATATAAAACATTATCAGTTTTCAATGAATGGAAGTATGAACTCATAGATAATATATGCACTCTGTGCCAAAATATTTGTTGCCAAAGTAAGGATTTCTCTTTGTCTGCATGTCTAAATAGAGCTTCTCTACTTATGTTAACAAAATTAGAGAGAGTTTCTAATTAGAATGGCACTGATTTTCAAGATGATGTCATGTGTGTACTGCTTTCAAAGTACATCTAGTTAGGCAAATTGAAAAAGTGAAATATTGAATGTTAATCATGCCATGGTAAAGCAGCTCAAAGATTGTGTTCCTGAGCGCTTGTATTGTCCTCATGGCTACATTTGATTTTGTACACCAATGACTGAAACAAAGACATGCAACTTCAAAGCAAAAGTGTTACTATTAAGTCTTGGGCAGAACATTTAAATTAAAACAAGATTTTTAAAAGACAAAAAAACCAATAAAAATGGTGCAAAGTTTCAAAGCAAGATTGTAGGGAACTAAAAATGATTAGTATGTTGCACAATGTTATTTTTCAAGTACTTCATATCACAAGATATAGTCATGAAATCTGATAAATTTATTCATAAATCTTTCTTTGCAAAAATCACTTTTAAAAAGAATAAACATGCATAACTTAATCAATAATGAATTTTTGTTTTATATTAAAGAGAAAATAGCACAGAAAAATCAACCAAATAAATAAAAAAATGACAGTATCAACAACAGCAAAAAATTAAGAGTGATACAGGATTTCAAAACAACATGGTAGGAATTTAACAGTGGGTGTTATAGTGATACTGTTAGTTTTGAAATAGTTGTTCAAGTTACCATACACAGGAATGAAATATTGATCAAAAAATATGATTACATTTTGAACAGTTTCTTTTCCTTTCACCACATCTATTGTAACCTTTGTATTTTATTTACTTTCAACCACTTACAGCAACAAGATAGTAGGATAATTACCTATAAGTGTCTGATATATTTCATTTATGAGTATGACTTCAAGGTGCATCCAATAAAATATAAAAGACTCTAGTTTATTCTTCCTTTTAACTGAGCACAAAAAATTGTATAAAGAATACCACAACATTTTTATCCATTCCTCCGTTGATGGGCACTGGAGTTGTTTCCAAGATCTCGCTATTACAAATTGTGCAGCTACAAAAATGCATGCACATATACCACTATACTATGATGTTTTCAAATTTTCTGGTAAATACCTAAGAGAGAAATAGCTGAATCTAATGGAATCATTAATCCTACTTTTTTGGTGAATCTCCACAGTGATTTCCACAGCAGTTTTAAATGATTAATAAATATATGAAATCAATACATCAGGGATCATTTGAGAAATGCAAATTAAAACAAAACTGAGATATCATCTTACTGCAGAGAAAATCCTAGCATTAAGAAATCAATGCATAAAAAGTGCTAGAGGAACTGTGGGATAAAAAGAACACTTCTATATTGTTGGTAGGACTGCAGGCTGGAAATGTGAATTTTTAAACTAATTATTTAAATAAAATCTTCATCGGATTGTAGTTATAGTATAAGCTAAAAACATGGATCTAACATATAAGAATAAATGACAGAAATCTAAAACTGTAGAATCAGGGAGTAATAAAACAATATTAAAGACATAATGCTCACTTAAATATATAATAATTGTATAACTTACACATATTACATTTACAAAACAATTAAAATTTATAATTAATTCATACTGGTAAAGAAAAATATTGCACACAGAAAAAAAGGAATCAACAAACACAAAAATAAAACAGAGAGATTGGCAGAAAAAAGGAACTGAATAAGGGAATCAAAAACTTTTCACATTTAAAAAAATCATGTTAACCATAGACATTAAAAAGTACTTCCTTTGAATTGCTGTGAATTGCTGTTCATTATAGAAATATATGCAGCTATTATTTCACATCTACCTCTGCAGGAACACTGGCTCAGAATTGTGTGTTGGTTTTGTGATAGATAGGTACATGCTGTACTTAAAATATGAAAAGATGGATTCAATGTCTGAAGACATGAGATGTGTGTTTACTTCTTCCACATTGGCTTGCATACACACTGGTCATGAGTCATGAAAATAAAAGAACTAATAGTAGGAAAATAAACATGGGTTAAAGCAGAAGTCTTAACCAGCCACCAAGCAGATCTGTCAAAAAGAGAAAACCAAACATTCATAATGGAAGACAGGACATAGAAGGAAACAAAAGCACAGACCAGGAGGAGGATGCTTTGAACAGCTCTGGTTTCAGGGGAAGATACTGATGAACTTTTGTATCTGTGAATATACTGAGTTTGCTGCTTGTGCTGGTACAGAATGAAAACCATGGAGCTACTACTCCACATCATAAGTTCCAAACAGAAAATATCATGTGATAATGACAATGCCATAAAGATGTAGTTTATTTCTTTGCTAGAGATTGCAGCTGAACAGTATTGATAATCTATAGTGTTTGTGATGTTTTTATTGTGCCTTTTGTCAGTCACAAGCATAGGAACTCTGATGTTTGCCAGCATGTGCAGGACCCAGAAAATGCTGGGAAAGGACCTAATGCACTTTAGTGCTCTCACTTTCAGCTCTACCCACCTGGTGCTCCTGGGGCTGATGGTGATGGCCTGGAAGACACTCAGCAGGCAGGTGGTGCTGAAAGACACACCCTTCCCCACCATTAAAACATAGAAAATGAGTTTGCACCAAAAATTATTGAGGAAGTCTTCTATCCCAAGTGCTGCCATGGTCTCTGGGATTCCTCGGGAGAGAATGACCAAGAGATTAGCCACTGTCAGGTGCCTGAGAATAAAGTACGTTGGCATGGTTCTTTGTTCACTGAAGGAAATGAAGATATAATGATATAAAAGTGAGAAATTACCCAGGCTTCCAATGACAACTGGGAAAAGGAAGAGGATTACAAATTTCATATCCATAGATGTCATTCTTCTTTTTCTTCTGGGCAGGATTCATATCAACAGACTAAGATATAGAATTCTGAAAAGAAACATAGTATGATGAAACAATTTTATACAAAGTTAATACAAAATTGTGCACATTTTTATTCCTTAAAATGTAGTTTAAACTATATATTTTGTGTTTTGAAATCTGAAATGCTCCTTTTCATTATATAGCATTTTAAATGTATGCATCACTGTGGGATATGGCTTACCAATACCAACATTCTTAGGCTTCACAACATGATGGGTAGGATCTAACAATATGTGCTGTTATAAAAAGAATATTTAGTAAAAAGAATGTATGTGACTCAACCAAATGTGAAGAAGACACTTGGACCTGTGAGAATTTGTCATATTTGAAATCTTCCTATGGCAATCCTTGACTGTGATAATCCTCATTCTGTGTCAATATTTTCTTTATAACATATAATCACTCCTTAAGAAATAGACACGTCTTTAAAATTAATGATGGACTATGTAATCTCTCAAATTCTGTTTGGATTTATTAAACAGGGACCAATATTATAATAACAATAACATTTTTCTAATATCATTTGGCATAGAAATTACATATAAGATTTATTATATAAATCCTCTCAGCTAATACAATAGATAAGATATTTAAGTCATAGAAACTGAATTAACCTTCATTAGACAGCTTACTTCCATTTATTAGTTTACGAAAATAGTGTTGCAGGTAGCTGAATTAGTTAAAAATATTTTAGGCAGTGAGATAGGACTAGGTACTCAATGGAGCCATTGCAAACACCTGGCGGCTTCTGGAGAAGCTGACGCCTGCTGCTGTGGGCCAGGCCTCAAGACAAAAGATCACACAAATGCATCCATATATCAAGATTGATACCCCAAATAGTTCCAATTCCCCTAGGAAAGAGTCACAGCTCTCTAAGAATGCCCATTTCCTAAGTACTGGCTTTTCCATTTGTCCCTAATATAATCAATTTTACCTGAACTATTATCTTATTGGCTGACTAGAGTTATGTTCCAACTTCTGCCCATCATCATTGTGAATTCTTAGCCTTGCCCCACCTTGAACCCATGGTTTTACTCTACAAAATCCCTGGAAAAGGCAGAGTCTTTGGCAACATGCTTGGAAAACCTTATATCTCTCTTCAGATGGAAGTTTTCATTCTCTCAATAATTACATTCTACTATTTTACTCCATGGTTCCTAAAATTGATGCTTCATTTTTCGAGATCATGAACTCACAAGACATAGTAAGTAGGGCATTTCATTCCCCTTTATCAGTAGTACCATTCTAGTTGAGAGTGATGCTGAAGCACATCATGTGTGACAAATAGAATTTCAAGTCTTCATACCACATCATGGTAATGGGACACAGGACATGTAATCACAAAATGTCCTTAAAGTTTTAAACATGACAAATTTAAGAAGACATACTTGAATAAGAAATGAGTTGTCCTCCTTAATTTCTCTTCAATTTAATTAGTCAACAATTAATTTAAAGTTTGATAAAAATCACACACATAATAAAAGAAAAATTGCCTCAATATGCCAATAGACTACAAATATTTACACAGAGTTTTAGTATCATTTGTATTTATTACTGCAACCCACTGAAAGAAAACTCATTATTAATCAGAAATTGCCATTTGAACACAGGAATTATACAGAAAAAAGCTGGCTCGATTTTCTCTAGCACTCTCATTATAAAAAACAAGAGCATTCACTGAAGCAAAAAAGCAAGAGCTATTAAGTTTCTCTGTAATTTTTTCAGAGCACACTGAACAGCAGGGTGTTTTGTGAGTAACTGCATACACATGGATCTTCGAAATGAGGTGACAGTACTGCTTGGAGCAGTAATTACAATCACCTTTCTCATGGTGATCAGCTAGAGGATGGAGAGGTCTCAGATCTCCAGTCTCTGTCCACAGCTCAGCCTGGGCCTCAGGAATCATCCTTCCTTCCTGTGCACCTCTGTCACCCCAAGTGAATCACTTTGCCAGACATGGAGACTCACTCAAACACAGACCCTAAATCACTACATTCTTTTACAGCCTTTATTTCACAGGGTAGAAGAGAAAAATACTCACCCAGCATCTACCAGTTTCTCTAGCAGCAGGCTGAGGCGATAGTGAAGAACCCTCCTGGCTGTGTGGGAGGAAGGTGGCCACAACTCAAAATATATGTCACTGTTTTGTGATCGGAACTCCCCTCTGAAACCCAATTACCATTTCACCTGTAGTTTCCGTGTCAGTACATGTTCAGGCACCAGAGACGACTGCAAAAATAAGTTTTAAAAAGTTCATTCCAACCCCAATTCCCAGAAACAATTAGAAGTTTCTGTGGGCTTCTCCACACAAAGAGCTTGAGTGCTTTGTAGAATCCTTCCCTAGCAGCTACAGGAGCGCAGTCCCATTGGGTGTAAGGAGAAAATTTTGTTATCTGAAAACTGAAGAAAATTCAGTTGTGTATTTTCCCAATGGTAACTGATGCATAAATATATGTAGATATGTGTGTTTCCATAAACATTTTGGTTTAAAATACATAAACATAGAAATTGCATACAATTATAGGCAAGGGATTACACTATATTTTTTATATTTATATTTATATATATTTGTTAAACACTTAAATATGATCTTATGATCTTAGCCATATTCAAAAGTGCAACAAGTACAACACTATGATGGACCCCAATTATGGTGATTTAAATTATGTCTCTAGAACTTACTAGTACCTGACAGGATATCTACCCAGTGCATCCCAGGCCCTGGTCACAGGTACCAACATTCTGCTTACTGATGTCACTTGATTTATGTCCCTCTTACACATGAGATCTTGTAGTATTCTTCCTTTGCACTTACATAACTTCTTGTACATTAAAATCATCACTGTTTGTGTAATTATTCACACTGATTCTCATTTTTCAAGCTGGAGTAGGTATTTTGTTTGTTTGTTTATTTGTTTTTGAGGCAGGATTTCACTTTGTATTCAAGGCTCACATCAAGCTATCTAAGTAGGCCAGGCTGACCTTGAACTCCTGGGTACCCCTCTGTGCTTAGCCTTCTGAGTATTGGAACTGCAGTCATTATAGTTTTTCAAAGTACTGTCATATTAACTTTTCTGTATTCATTCATCAACTGATGCTCACTTAATGAGATTATGTATCCTAAGTATCGTGAACAATGCTTCATCAATCAGAAAAGTGTAGCTATCACTTGAAAATACTAATTTGGTTTCTTCTAAATATGTACTAACCAGGCTTGACAAGTATATATGATAGTTTCATTTTAATTTCTTCTAGAATCTTCCTCTTATATTTCACAATGGGAATACCAATTTACATTCCCACCAATAGAGTCTGATGAGGCACATTTTGTCATTTCCCAATCACCTCAAGAGTCATTCTAACAGGTGTGATGTGAGAACTCGCTGAGGTATGAATATACATTTCCTAATGCTTTATGACTTTGGACACTCATTGCTATACCAATTGACTGTTTTTCTTCCTCTGAGAAATGTCTATTCATTACCCTGCCAATTGGGGGTCGGTATTTAACAGAATATAATTTGAGCTTTATTTTATCCTTCTGAGTTTGTTTTTTATTTATATGTGTTCACAAGTCATAATGATTGCATTCTTCTTGGGAAGCAGTTGTTACATATGCATTTCTTACACTGATCAGCTTAATAAAACAGATGGTCTGTCACAGAATACCCATTCTGGTTTGATTACTACCTGTTTTTGAAGCTTTACACTATCTACAAAGTATTGTTTTTATTAATATTTTTATGTACTGCTATATTAAATTACACTATGTCTGATGGTATAGACAATTATATTGAAGATAAGAGACAACACAGAAACTACGGTAGAACTCCTTGTACAATGGTCTGATATATCTTTTTTATTTCATGTGTTTATAGGAAAATATTTTCTTTGTCTTAATTTGTTTTGTTTCTCCCTCTAATATAGAAAGAATAGAAATACATGTTGAGACTCATGAATGTGTAGAACCTATAAACAGTTTATGTGAACTGATATTATAAGCTTGATGCAATGAACAACTACTTTGAAGAAAAAAGAGACACTACAGTACCCAGTGCTGATTCCATAGTGTCATGATGTGAAATCTGGCAGTACTATTATTCCTAGTTCAGCGTGATTTTAGCCTACTTTGGTTTATTTAACCTTAACATAAATGAAGGTATACATAACTTCATATATGTTTAAGTGGATAGGATTGATAACAATAATACTAAGTTTTTGTTAGATAGTTGAACAGAACTTTTTGTATTCTCGCTGTTTAAATCTCCACTTTATATGTTTCACTGTTGTAACTTGAACAACTGTTTGTAAGAGGACAATATGTAATCATCACCAGTTATTTCTTACTGTTTATATTTTCTTTGAAAATATGTATTATTTCTACCCTTTTTCTTTTTTTTTAGTCTTTCTTTAAATAAAACTTAAAAAAAACTATATGTGTTTTTTATGGTCTTTGCTGGGTACATCTCTGACAATGTGAACATTTTTCTAATACTATCAGGATGGCTACTCAGAGTCACAGTCCTGGTCTGCCCTTCCCAGGCCCTGTTATGTCTCAGATGACAAAAGAGAGTTTAGCTCTTGTGTCATATTTTCCAAACCTCCTCATTTTCATGGATATGTAGTCATAAACATCTATAAATCACCTTGAATCACATATACTTTTTCATGCATTATAAATTATATGAGATGGGTGTTAATGTCATTTTAAAGCCACTTAAAGCTAAATAAAATTTTTTATTTCTTAGAACTGATCTGAAATCCTCAGAGGTAGCACATAGTGTGTTAAGTAAGAAGCTTTTGATGAACCACTTGTGGCAGTGGGCATGCTGCACTCTCTGTTTCAAATAACAGTGAAGTTGATAATGCCATTAAAGTAAAGATGGTTCATAATTTGTCTAAGGCACCATTTTGTTATGCTCCGAAACTCTAATAATGCAAGTGAGTGCAGAGG